CCCTAAACCCTAAACCCTAAAGCCTAAAGCCTAAAGCCTAAAGCCTAAACCCTAAACCCTAAACCCAATGAAACAAACCCACAAACTGCAAACCATCACAACTTCGCCATACCCTGAACCCCTTAACCCCCACCCAGGGCTTCATGTCCTCTGTTAAAATCCCCCGAGCGCCGCGTAAGCTCGCTCAAAACAGGTCCTCACCTCGTTAGGATGACGGAGGGTATGCGACAGACGAAGGATACCTCGCGCTCGATACGGGGGTTTCCGAAAACAGGGGACCTCAATATAGTACCCTAAATAGTAGGATCCCTATTATAGGGACCCCAAAATAAGGTACCCCTTAGTTTCGGAAACTCTCATACAGCTTCGGGTTTAGAGTTTGGGGTTTGCGGCTCTAGGCCCGTAGTTCTGGGTTTGAGGGTCTGGGGTCTGGGGTTTAGGTTCGGGGGGATTTAAGCTTCGGAGCTTTGAGGGTGGGCATTTAGGGATGGGGATTTGGTTTTGGGTTTAGGGTTTAGGGTTTAGGGTTTAGGGGTTTAGGGGTTTAGGGGTTTAGGGGTTTAGGGGTTTAGGGGTTTAGGGGTTTAGGGTTTAGGGTTTAGGGGATTGAGGCTTAGGAGTCAGGACATGTTTTTTCGGAGCTTCTTTGGGGCAGCGGTTTAACCTTTGTGGCTCGAAGTCTCTTGCTTTGCCGGCTTGGGTTTCCTCAAGCCCAAGAGCTGTGCTTTTCCTAAACCTTAAGCCCTAAAACCATTAAGCTCTAAGCCCGAAGCCCCAAACCCTAAACCCCTAATCCCTATACCCCTAAACCCTAAACCCTGAAGCTAAGACCCTAAAACCCAAAAAACATAAAACAACAAAAAAACTGTCGCAGTGAACATAGCTTTGGAAGGTCGGGGCTGCAGTAGAATTAGAATAGGGCCTGTAAGGGGACAGCATCTTCTAACTAGATTGGCACCACAAGGGACCATTGCTAATTATTCAAATCTCGGTTGCCGGAAACAGGGTCCTAGCTCGGCGGCTTGCGGCATCATGAACGGCATCACTCGCTTTACACTCAACGTGCTTCAACCCTCAGCACGCTCATACGGCTTTGGGGTACCATGTCCGAAGACTCTGGATGTTGAACTCCTTACTGAAATACTCTAACATCCACTGTCCCTGTGACAGTTCTTCCAACTAAGTGCGTGGAGGAAATCCTTCCTCCGGATTCCTGATGATGGGGATCCTGCTCTTGCTTTTCGGAGCGCAATGACTCTCACCATCCATGGCGCAAGAAACCCTGCCGGAAAAAGCCGTAGTAATTCAAGATGTGTTTGGGCGTATGTTATGCTTTAACTATACCAAGGAAGAACTGTGTTACTAATTGTACCGACCCATCCTTTACCTGAGCTTCCAGGCCACCAGCACAGAGGTGGTCGAGCTATAGGTTGTTTCCAAGAGCGGGGACACGACGACGATGCCTCGGTCCGTGGGGCTCTCGGAACCCTAAACCCTAAACCCTAAACCCTAAACCCTAAACCCTAAACCCTAAACCCTAAACCCTAAACCCTAAACCCTAGGGGCTAG